AGCTGTGGTAGCATAGTGCCTAAGGCACTTGACTGCTAACCAGAAGGCTGGAGGTTCAAACCCACCAGCCACTCCTCAGAAGGAAGGTTGGGCAATCTAATCAGAAACCCAAGGAGGGGTCACTATGAGTCGGAGCCAACTCGATGGCACATAACAACAACAATAACAATGCAAAACCAACAGCCAACATTATTCTCAACGGAGAGAGACTGAAACCATTCCCCTTGTGAACAGGAACCAGACAAGGATGCCAACTATCATCACTTCTATTTCACATTGTACTGGAAGCCTTAGCCAGGGCCATAAAGCAAGAAAGGGAAATCAAAGGCATCCAAATTGCTAAGGAAGAAGTCAAACTATCCCTATTTGTTGATGATATGATCATATACAAAGAAAACCCAAGAGACTCAGTCAAAAATCTACTGGAACTAATTGAGAAATTTAGCATCGTGGCAGGATATAATATCAGCATCCAAAAATCAGTTGGATTCCTCTACACCAGCAAAGAGATTGCTGAAAAAGAAATAAGGAAATCAAAACTATTTACAATAGCTATCAAAAAAATAAAATAGTTGGGAATAAATCTTACCAGGTACATTAAAGACATGTACAAAGAAAACTATAAAAAACTACTTCAAGAAACCATAAGAGATCTACATAAATGGAAGAACTACAATGCTCGTGGATAAAAAGATTGAACATTGTGAAAATGACAATTCTACCCAAAGCAACTATACATTCAATGCAATCCCAATCCAGATCCCATCAACATTTTTAAAGGATATGGAAAAACCAATCACTAGCTTTATATGGAAAGGAAAGAGACCTCAGATAAGCAAAGCACTATTGAAGAGGAAGAACAAAGTAGGAGGTCTCACACTGCCAGATCTCAAAACCTACTACACAGCCATAGTAGTCAAAAGTGCCTGGCATTGGTACAATGACAGACACGTAGACCAATGGAATGGAATTGAGAACCCAGAAATAGATCCATCGACCTATGGTCAGCTGATCTTTGACAAAGGGCTGAAATCCATTAAATGGGGAAGAGAATTTTGTTTAATCAATGGTGCTGGCAAAACTGAAGATCCATTTGTAGAAAAATGAAACAAGATCTGTACCTCACACCATACACAAAAACGAACTCCAGATGTATGAAAGATTTAAATGTGAAACCTAAAACTATACAGTTCTTCAAGGAAAAAGTAGAGGCAAATTTAGGGGCCATAATATATGGTATAAATAGACTACCAAGTGTAACCCAAAACACACAAACAACAGAAGAGAAACTAAATGAATGGGACCTTCCAAAAATTAAATTTTTATGTGCTTCCAAAGACTTCTGCAAAAGAGTCAAAAGAGAACCTAAAGATTGGGAAAAAATATTTGGCAATGACATATCAGACAAGGGACTAGTCTCTAGAATTTATAGAAAACTCCAACACCTCAATAACAAAAAGACAAATAATCCAATTAAAAAATGGGTAGAAGACATGAATAGACACTTCACCAAGGAAGACTTCAGGTGGTCAGCACTAGTAGTAACGTTCAACAAGACAGAAAATAGCAAATGCTGGCGAGGATGCAGAGAGATTGGGACTCTCATACACTGCTGCTGGGACTGTTAAATGGTACAATGAATGTGGAAAGTAGTATGGCGATTCCTTAAAAAGTTGGAATTAAAAATACCATTTAACCCAGACATTCCATTACTAGGTATATATCCTAAAACAGTAAGAGCAATGACAAGAGCAGACATATGCACACCCATGTTCATCACAGCACTATTTACAATAGCCAAAAGATGGAAACAACTAGGTGTCCATTAACTAAGGAATGCATAAACAAACCACGGTACATAAACACAATGGAATACTATGCGACGCTAAAGAATAATGTAGAATCTGCAAAACACCACATAACGTGGATGAACTTGGAGGACATTATGCTGAGTGAAATAAGTC